CATTAAATAGTTGTTGTCTTAGAAAGCCAACAAGCGTCAAGGATTTTCCAGATGTTGTGGCCTATTCACATCGAGTCATGAGAACTGAAATCTGAGACATCTGGAACTTGGTTGTAGAACATCCCAATTATCAAGGCATGCTCCTCCATCAAACTAGAGCGATTTTGATTGGGATAGTACAAAGTTTACTCCTGAGCCTTCCGTTCCTCATCAAATTTACTAAATACTTGGATTAAGAGGTAGAGCGTATAATTGTCAAATTTACATGACCAATTTGGGTGCAATAATTCACTCTCTAAAAGACAGAGATATAATTAAAAATTATCTGAAAATTACAGAATGGAATGTTTTACAACAAAAATGCCAAATTATCTGAAAATTACAGAATGCCAAATTCTCCATCTAAGAAAAAAAAATCAGATGTACAGGTATAGGATGGGGTAAATCTGGCTTGTAATAGCACTTGAGGGAAATATCTCAGAATAGGAGTTGATCTAAACTGAGTATGAGTCAGCAATATGATAAGGCTGCCAAAACGCAAATGGAAGTATAGGCTGTGTCAACAGAAGAAGAGTTTCCAAATCACAGGAAGTAATCATTTCACTTTATTCTGCACAACTAAGACTCCACTCCCAAATGGTGTCTCATTCAAGAACCATATCAAACCGAAGGAAGTTCAAAGACAGGCAACAAAGAAGATTGAGTGATCTAATTCCTATAAAAAGAGATTGAAGGAACTGGCATGTATACTTTGAGAGGACTGAGGGAGGATATCCCAGTAGTCTTCAAATATCTGAAAAGAAGCCGCACAGAAAAAAAAATCTAGCCCTGTCCTCTATCAGCCCAGAATACAGGACATGGATTAATGAATATAACTTACAGAAAAGCAGTTTCCAATGAAATGTTGGTGGGGGAAGGGGGAACCCTTCATAATTGTCAAAGCAATTCTGGAAAATTCCATGGGATCTCCTTCATTGGATGTGTTCAAGCACAGGTTAGTCATCCATTGATTGGGGATGCTTTGATGTGGATTCCAACACTGAGCAGAGGGTTGGACTCAAAAACCTAAAGCCCCTTTCAGTTTTATAATACTTTACACATGTAACCCATGTATAAAAGGAAATGTTTATACTCATGGGGCAACTAAAGGGGCTCCTATTTGACAGCACAAAGTATATTCTGACATAATACATATGTTCACTGCGTGGTTCAAGTGTCACAATATACAAATAATATTTATAAATAAATATATTGTATTTACTAATAACAAAACCCTTGGTTCTTTTACTTTTAGAATGAAGAAGTCTAACGATAGCTCTATTGTCAGTCTGTACAGCAGTCTGAGCATTCACGGAATATGATAGGATCTCTTAACCAGATTTGTTAAGACTTTATTAACTGTATACTATTAGTTTTGGTTGCATAATTAACAGTTTCATTCATTCCAGTGGAACTATTTATGAATATTAATCATTTGAAGAAACAGTTCTGCAGAACTGTGACATCAAAATTAATTAATGAAGGTTCTGAATACATCAATATAGCACTGAGAACTGGAATATCTTCATGCTATATGGTTGCTTTTGTCTATATTATTGTTATCATTGCTAAGAATAATTTTAAAACAGTAAGATAAGTACCAAGCTAAAAAATATCGTCTCTGAGGGATTCTGCCTTGCTTTATCTCTTGTCTTCTGAAATCTTTTTTAATTCACATTGCTTTTTAGCTATCACAAGCGTATTTAGATTCTGAGGTGAGCCTTTTAACCTTTACAGGCTGTGATGATTTATGAAATTGTTATTTTGCATTTTATCATTCTTTTTGGGATGTTGGATTATATCCTGTGGAGTTTGCTAAAACGATTGGTAAGACAGGAAAGGAAAATGCAATGTTTCAATGTAGATAAATAAGAAAACATTTTATATGGTAGCTTCAGAGGATCAGTGTGGTTCTTGAGGAAATAGATGTAATAGAGATATGGGTGATTTCCATCTATGTAAAATAGGGTATTCAGAGTTAAGGTTTCCATAGTAACCATTCCTTTAGCCCCTTAGGTGTGAAACTGGGCTTCTATCTAGCTGTAGCTATTTGAAAACTGAAGTGGGTCAAAGGTCTTTAATAACATCTTCATGTTATGTTATTTTTAGGAAATGAGAGCATGCAAATCAGCTTTCCCCTAATGCTTATTCCCTCAGACTTTTTTATTATTATTATTTTTATCCTGCCTTTTTTCATATACAACTCAAGGCAGCAAACATATCAATAGTCCTTCCTCCTCCTATTTGCTGCACAACAACATCCCTGTGAGGTGAGTTGGGTTGAGAGAGAGGGACTGGCTCCAAGTCACCCAGCTGGTTTTTCATGCCTAAGGTGGGACTAGAACTCACTGCCTCCTGGCTGCTAGGCCAACACCTTAACCACTACACCAAACTGGCTCTCATTAAAAAAAGTTACTCCTGTTTCTGTTTTCTGCCTTATCCTACTTCTGTTACTTGAATCCATCACAGTTAAAATCACAGCACTGGATTTCAAGCCTATTATTTGAATCAAACTTTGACCAAAAGAAATCATTAAACTGAATTGGGGCTTTTTCAGATTAATAAACTGAATTGTTAGACTATAGTCAGTGGATTAAAAGCAGAACTGCACATTGTTCAGTTTTGACTTGACATATTGTTTGAACCTAGCCATTTCGGTTTACAAATTATTTGTTTTGATTTCTGTTTATTTTTTGTATATTCTGTTTATTTTCTGTATATTCTGTTTACAAATTATGGTTTACAGATTAGCATGGTATGAAACCAGCTAAGGGTGTCTTACTCATGAAATCATACAAGCTAAATTACAGCTATAAAATCATTAGCCCTGCACTAGGGCCACAGGAAGTCTGGCTGTTGGCTAGGTTCTCCCTAGCCCTATTCATGTGGAGGTGCTACTTTAACCAATTCTTTTAGAAGCCAGAGATTAGGGGACATTTAGTTATATAAACCAACTCACCATCCTTACTTGCCACAGGGAATTACAAGAACTTTACATCTGCAACAATGCTAAGAGTTCATCTTGAACTTTAGTACAATACAGAAAATGGCAATTTCAAAACTCCTTGATAATGCCAGCTTAGCAGATAAAAGCTGGAGATCCATAAGGAAACCAGTCTTTCTAAATGTGCAGGTCATCTGGTAGTCACACTATTTTTTTTCCCCTTCTTAAGTATATAGTATTCATGGAGAACTAGGTGATTCACAAAAAGCTAGTTTGCAATGGAAATGAATAAGGTTGCAAGAATCCACATTTTGCTCATGTATGAGACATACAATTCTGAACACATGTGTATGCACAGAAACAAGTGATCCAGAGAGGAAAAAAAGTGGAATATATTTCTTAAATGGCATAGTAGCATAATAGCTTTAAAATTAAATCTAATTGATAGGACAATATCAACAGGGCAATATTAATTAATGGGGGGGGGCTTAAGAAAGTAAAGAGAGTGATTATAATTGTGCAATCACAACTGCCATCTTGGCTGCCCTTGCAGGTGACCTGCACACATGCCCACAAATATTTGATACAATCTAAAAATATGAAGATGTGACTCCTAGTTATCGCAACTTTCTGTAGATACTTTTCCTGCTCCACAAAATTGATCTGGCTGTTACTGTTTTCCATTATCATTTAGCATCAGGAATTGTATTTAAATAAAACAACATGCAACTTTTCAGTTTAAAATAAGAGATCATATGCATACAGAAGCATTGCTGCATTATTTTTTCATTCCATCAAACAGGTGGAAATTTACAAATAAATTTGCATCTATTTCCATTTAGTTGTCTTTTTTAATTCAGTTCAAATTATGAAACCTACATAATATCACTTTTTCTTTTGTTCTAGCAAATGAAAACTGAAAATTGTGTAATGCATGTTATGATTCAATAGAAATATAAATAAAAAATAAAATCTTCAATCAGCTTATCCCATGACATCCCTGTAAATTTCAGTTGAAAGTTCCACTGATGTTCCACTGAGAGTGTTTTAATGATTATTGCCATCACTGTAACCTTAAGTAGTACTGGACACTATCTAGAAAATTAAGCATACTTACAGTAAATCCTGCCTTATCCACATGGTTTTTAGTATTAAGTTAAATTTAAAACATCAGTAATATCCATGGAAATTGAATATTCTTGGCTTTCCTTGGCATGCACCTTTTATACCAAGACAAAAACCATTGGAATTTATAGGGTACTTCTACAGAAGGTGTTTAAGACTATGGTTACCTAAGCTTGCGCTTTAAGTGTTCAACTCATGAAATTGAATACAGTGAAACTGAATATAATGTAAACATCAGCATTTTATTTGCCCTTCTTATCAAGAAATTGATCCAGTGATATATGATGCCAGAATGAAAAATGGATACTCCCAAATGTAAAGTTGCCTGTTGAATTGCTAGTGAAATCTTAAGTAGAAGATGTAGGAGTTTTGCCCCAGCACAAGCAAATAATGCAGTGCTTCAAAAATTCCCAGATCCCCCCTTTTTCAAATATATATATATATATATATATATATTCACATACAGACATTTATTTACTCTGATTTGAAACTGTTGTATATTTGGAACAAGGTTACCTGGTGTTGTGTGCATAGAGTGTGGTTGGGAAGGGCAGAGTTTTGGCACCCCCTGATTTTCTGGCTGCACCATTCATGGACTCCAGTGTTCTGTGGCTTTGGGGGTGGGGGGAAATCGCTTTCAGTTGGCTTGCTCAAATAAAGTTCGGGTTCTTTTATTCTAAAATGCATTGAAGGAAATGGAGATGCAGTCTGTACCCCTGGATCATGCAGGTCAAAAATACACAAAGCATGCAAGCTAAAGAAAAGCAAAGCGGAAGAGAGAAAGGCGAGATGCGCAAAAGAAGGGGAATTCGAGCGCAGACTGCACATCGGCATTCACCATCAAGAGTTAAAGAGAGTGAAATGGCTAACGTACACACACCCCGCTCCATACCGGAGAAGAGTCTCCCAGCTGAGTTGAACGCTCAGAACCCGCAAGAACGAAGCTGAAGCTGACTGCCCCCACGGCCACGCTGGAGACTCCCAGCCCTATCTCCAGCATGGAAAGCACCAGGAGGCTCCCGATGATCTGGCTGCTGGTGCACATCCTCCCTCGGTCATCCTTCCTACCAGATCAGCTACTAAAACCACACATTCGCCTTCGCCGAGCTGGGGAGACGAGGAATGCTCTCCCCTCCGCTGAAACTTTTTTCTGTTCTTTAGCAACCAGGCATATCCACAGCCCCCAAGGCCAGGGCGCCTCAGGACGGAGCGTGCTTCTCGCCCCAATTCGAGACCCAGTAAAAGAGGTTGTTTGCTTTGCAGCACCGACTCGGACGCTTGGCGCGCGTCGTCTCGATGATGCATCCAGCAGCCTGGTTCTGGACGTATCTTCCCCCCGCCACCTTTTTTCGTCCCGGGCAGAGAGCGGAGACGGCGGAGCGAAGTGCTGGTGCTGCTTCGCGGATCTTGGGCTAATGAAGGCTCCGTGGGGAGCTGTCCGCGGTACTGATCCCTCCTTCCCGAGCCTTCGCAATGAGCGTGCTCTTCAGGCCCTTGTGATCACAGGGTTCTCTTAAGCGAGCTCGATCTCTTGACAGCCCCAGTCAAGCGCTTGTACTTCTTTCTTCTTTCTGCTGATGTTCCAATAAAGTCTCTATATCCCTGAGCCCTGGTGGAGGCAGATTAAATTCAGCACCAGTTCTCTTTAGCACACAGAAAAGGGAGAAAGGGAGAGATGTCAACCTTGCCTGATCACCACCTCCTTCATTCTCATTGGAATGACCTCGCCAAGAGTTGGCTGGAGGGAGGGGACACTGAAATAGAAAGCCCAGCCCCAGCAAGAGTTAGGCACCAGTCTGATGGAGTCAAAAATTTACACAGCAACCCCATCACAGCACAAGAAATGTGTGAACATGTTCATCTGTGTTATTGTCACATCTATCATGTGCAAACTGAAAATCCCTTCCACACACAAGAGCAAGGGTCTCTTCCCACTCCCACCATTTTCCTTGATCTCAGGGCAGACTTAGTGACTTTGTATAAAATATTGCAAACAATTTGTGGAGTTACATAATATTTCTTCTTGTTGTTTACCTGCCCACATTAAGAAACAAGTGATATTTGCAACATTAGAATGTTGAAAAAAAGAAAATGTTATGGCCTCAGTTATGGGCTTCATGTAAATTGTAACAAAGGAGTGGAAATATTTAAGTAAGATTAAAATTCACACATGTGCTCCTGATCCTTGTAAGTGTCAGATTGTTGCAAGTTACTGAATTCAACATCTGCAAGTTATATGTCAATCCAGCATCTTTTGGAGCTTTTTTTTTTTTTTAATTGTAAAATGGGCAAATGTTCAGTGTCTTTAAAACATAAATGGGTTCAAATGAGATCAAGAATGACAATTTGATAATGTGACTTTTTCGTTTCTAATTTGCTTGTTTTATTTTATTATTTTTTTCCTTTCTTACATGTAACTACATAAGCCTCAGAGCATGCTCCGAAAGGAAGGTCAGGGTTATTGAAGTATTGTGGAAACTAAGGTTGGCTGGCTGTGATTAGTATGTACATGGGGAATCACCTAAGAACCTAATATGTCTCCTTGACTTCCATGAAGAAAGTTGGGATATAGAACCACCATTCCTGCAGAGTTCCCTGCAAGATCTGTTCTGCTGAAGGACAATATCTTCTTTGTTTCATAGTGAGCCAGCTTGCCACTTCAGAAGCAAACTAATTCATAAGTAACTCAATGCCTTGCTTGAACTGGTGCATTTGTCCTGTCCTGTTTCTTTGGTGATCTATATAGGTACGTCCTGCTAAGAGAGATGGAGTAGCAAGGGATGATGATAGCAAATAAAGGATAAATCAAATGGGGGAAAGGGGGAGTGACTCATTAGTTGATGTTACACAGGTGTTTTGTAACCTGTCAGATACCTGCTACCTACCACCAGATTGCAGCATATAACATAGACTGGTGTCTGGACAGTACCATGTCACGCAGTAGGAGGAAGACTTGAAAAATGTAGTGCTCCCTTTATGGAAAAAAAGTTTCCACTCATAAGAGTCATATAGAATGGTTCACTTAACTTAATTTTCTCACTGACATATTATAGGCCGGAAGATTGAAATGCTATAGCTTAGATTAATTTAATCAGAAGGAAAATTGAGGCTTTCCAGATAGGTCTGTAATTTGCTATCATTGCTATTTCTTCCAGATAACTTTTGGCTGAAGAGTAAGAGTACAGAACGATGCTCAGGAACTCATAGGAAAATTAATGTGGAAATGCATTCAGGCTCCGTTACCATCCCAGTACTGAATGTAGTTTCTAAATGGACATAAGGAAAATTTGCCTCTGTATGTGTGTTTGTTTATTGTTGTGATGGACCTTCAACAATAAATCAGAGTCTAATGTTACATAATTTGGCAGAAAAATACTATAAACTTCCAAATTGAGCTCTTTTTTGCTGCTTTTATTGACTTAAAGGCAGCTTTTGATTCCATTGCCCAAGAAAAACTTTGGAGGAAACTAGCTAACTCATTGACCGATGATCGTATGCTTAATTTGATCATCCAGTTACACTGCGATACCACTCTGCAGGTTAAAGGCACTAATTTCAGTGATCTAACACAGCCTATCCCCACTCATACAGGGGTTAAGCAAGGATGTAACTAGCCCCCCTATTCTTTACCTTTCTTATTAACAATACTGTAGCTTCTACCAATCCAGACTATGCTTCACCCATCATCAAATCCCAATTTTTCTGTATGCAGAATTTCAAAAAGAATTTGAAACTTGAAATGGGTGATTCAGACATTTTCAAATTTGAATTATTTTGCACATGTTTAATTCTAGGTAAAATAATGCTTGCACATACAAGCAATAATATGAGAAGTTATTCTAAAATTTCACCTACTGTCTTTCTTATTCTGGACCTTTCCAAATTGTTTAAAACTGGCATTACTTTTGATAATATTTTTATTTTTCTCAGTCTACAATCAGTATACATATGGTGCATACCTCTATGATGTTCTTCAGGTCAGTTGTAATGATCTAAACACAAATAGCAACTTTACTAAAGGAAAGTAAATCTGGGCTAGGATGGAAGATCCTATTTAGTTCCACTGAAAGTTTGGGTAGAAATAAGTAAATATAATATATATTCAATGTCTAGTGGTGGTTTATTTAAAATGCCAATGGCATGTTGAATGCAAAGAACAGTACAAGCAAAGACAAACCTGATTATAAGAACAACCAAAATATATCCTGTATGGAACATATTACTGTTTCTGTACAGCTTTTCCTATATATTTCTCCAATAATTTGGCAAAAGGATTGAGTGACATGAAACTGTGAATTCTGCATACAGTTTCTAATTCATTGATGGTAGAGAGTATCATATCATGAGTTCCTTTTGCTAATTATCAGAAAGAAGCACAGAGGGAGAATGCTGGTCAGGAGCAACAACTGCTCACTCTTATAACATGCAGTTTAACATTGGCTTCAAATATATCCTTGCTTTTCATCATTTAGAATACCTTGGCTAGTGCTGTGGGATTTCATTTAAGCTTGCTGGTGAAGGGTAAACTGCAGACAAGTGAAAAGGACAAAAGCTGCAATTTCTTTTTCCTTCTCTCTGCCTTCCAAAATTTGGTCTTTATATCTCAAGGCAAGGGATGAGAAATAATTGCTTAGAGAAGAATTGTTTTTCAATTGAAAGTGCCTGTGTTTGTCTTCTGTTCTGCCAAATGGAATGCCACTGTTTTTGTTAAAGCCATACATAATACACAGGTACCTGGGAGGAAATGAAAAAGATGTTCTGCAAACTCAGATTCATGATGGGGAGGCATCCACTTTTTTTATTTGTTGCTCTGCCATTTTTCAGTCCAGCAGCTGAGCCATGTTTCCATATTTTGTAGTGTCTGGCTATGATCCGTTTTATGCTGTGATATCTAATAGAATGAGGCCTACAATAGATCTTACATTCTTATTTCAACAAATACAGTAGTTGAAATTTCCCATCAGGTTTTAGTTTCCAATTTTCTTTACAGGGAATGCTTAAAACTCATGCCATGTTTTAAAAAAAAAAAAATCTGCATTTTTTCTACCACTCCTTTTTCCATTTAATGAAAAAAGAATTGGTTTTCTAAATGTCATCCAAAAGGAGAAAAGCATTGTGATGAAGTTCTCATGAGATGAATCTGGGGGTTCTGCTTTTCTGTAGTTGTGAGATAGCCAAGAATTGTGAATGCCATCATGTAAACATCTCCTCCATGAGGAGGAGTTTATTCATAATGTCTTCCTTGGGATTTAGTTGAATGGACTACCTGCAAAGTTCAAAGTGATTGGAAGTTGTGTAACAGAAAACAGCACCTGCAACAACAGCAAAGCAAACTAAAAACACACTAGAGAATTTGAAGATAAGTATGTAAAGATAAGACAGAAGCCTTTTTCATATGGGGAAAAAAATTAAATATATTGTGAATCAGATTTAGGCACATTACTTAAAATGCAGTTCTCTGATTTGGACATCATGGAAACCTAATTTAGCAAACCAAGAAACTTGGGCATGGAAGAAGAAGGGATGGGGAGGATAGGGAGAACTGAGTTTTTGAGCTCATTTCTCATTCTTATGCTAATAAATCATAGTTTGACAGTTTGGAACTTTCCATCTGAGGTGGCCCACAGTGGAGTGGAGTGATGACATAACATGAATTATACAAATGGTTCTGGGTGTATTTCATACCATTTCCAAATAAGACTTGGAAAGCTACCCTGCCTTTTAGAACCCTGGAGAATTTCTGTCAATCAGTGGCTGTATATGTACAACACAGCCAGCCCAGTCACCTACTGCCCCAGTCATTCATCTCAACTCTGTACAACAGCAGTGCACATTTTGAGTTGACCAGCCTTCCATTAATCATTTTTGAGCAGAGATAATAATATTAATAAATATTAATAATAATAATAATAATAATAATAATAATAATAATAATAATAATAATAATACAATTCACAGTGGTACAATTAGAGTCAGGACTACCACAGAGTCAGGACAGACTTGGTTATTACCCCTTTCTGCACCCTTTTTGCTTCAGATGGCCATGGCAGATGATGACAAAAACAGATGGGGTATGAACAGAAGTCCCATTTTTCAGTTCCTCTCTAGGAATTCATCTATCTCAGAAAGGAGAAGAGTCAGTTAACACCCCCACTCCCACCCCATAAGCCAATCAGAGAATTACAATTGGGAAATACTGTAGTCCCAAGCAAGTCCTGAATTGTTTGGGGCTAAAAGCTACAGGATTCAATTAAGTATAAAATATGGAAGACACAATGCAAACAAGTCTTCTCCTCCCTGATATCCTATAAATATTTTGGACTGTAACTTCTACCATCTCCATTTAAGAGGGCCAATTTGAAAGG